ATTAAGAGATAAATACTTCATTAAACCAAAAACTAGTTCAACCTGTTGTTGTTAGACTCCATCATGATATAATTCATAAGTTGTTAGTAATAATTGTAATTCTTTTATAGAGGCGACTTACTAGTTTAAATATTAACTCCTAAATCTAGTATTTTATTTTTATTATTATTAATGAATTATAGCCTTGATAAAGCCTATCAGCAATAAGCAAAACATTGTATCTAGTTTTTGATTAAATAAAGTATTTATCCCTCAAGTTTAGCTGTCATTTCAACATTATTTAAGAAAATTTAACTTCAGTAAATTGTAAGAATGCATATCAAATTTTGATTTTCATATTAGTTATTAAACTATTTGGTGTAAAACATATTTATCAGTAACAATTCAAAATTACAAGCGACAACACACAAAGTCTATTAATGCATACTGTGATAAGATTTGTCAAGCTGTAGGAAATTTTTCTTTTGTGTAATCTGTGAATTTTAATCTGTTGTACTCTTTTGCTTTACATAAGGTTAATAGAGAGTAAAAGTTTTACTAGTAAAATTATCACTGTATTTCAAGGTGACATTATGTAAAATATTTAATGACTGTTTATTTTCTTTTTGTTTCATAACATTAAAAATGTTATGCCCGTATCAAAACTTCCTACTGCAGCAATCTGAACAATGTATACTTTGCTTTACTCAAGAATATATTTGTAAATGACTTATTTAGCAATACTTTTTGAGGTTGTAAAGGACTTTACTTGAACAGAAAACTATCCATAAACAGACAATTTCAGCATCGATAACCTTCACATTAACTTATCCTTGAAGTAGGTCCCAATTGTCTGATTGCCAAGATTAACTATTTATAAATTTCAAATGATAGACCTTCTTATATAAAATTAATTCTTAATGACTGTTTTGTCGATTATTATCAAAATGGGTTAATTCAGGGATAACTTTTTAAAATAATACATTACACATAACCTAGAAAAATAAAAAATAAATAAATTAAACTACTTACGACATTTTCAGGAAGTATATGTCCCGGCAAATATTTTACATTTTCGTGTGTCTCATTGATGATTTCCGTTAATTTCTCTCCATTCATAATTTCTTCATACACATACATTGTAACTTCATTATCAAATTGTGGCAGTTTTTGTACATTTTTACCAATTATTTTGGCTATAGCAGAACCCCTAAAATTTATTAAATAATTTAAGAAATAGTAGTTTAAATGTCGAAATTAAAATTGTTATTTAATAATCCAGAAAACAATTAAAAATAAATCCAGCATGGCAAAAAACAACTCGGCTTGACAACTTACCAGTTACCACTGCCTATGATACACACTTTCTTTAGTTTGGAAGGCATTTTACAGAAATTTCGAACTGCGTGCACTGCCCAAGTTGAACGAATTAAATTGAAGCGATAATTGTTAGCGCCAAGTACGACGGTCGTACTTGATATAAACAATTTACAACAAATTTTTGTTGGAGAAAAACATTCGTTGCTTATGCGCTTTGCACTCCCTGCTCTTCGACCAATAATAAACGAGCATAAGCAATAAGACGTAATTTTTATCATTTGATAAAAGCAAGATAAAGGTTTAAAGTACACTAATAAATAATCGTAAGTGCCGTTAGATTGGTAAAGAATTAGAACGCGAATAGGTTTATTATGCGTTAATTAGTTAATTAGATACATAAGTACTTTAGAACAACACCTGAGGTTCAACTATAATTTTTTAGTGAATGAGGGAAAAATGAAAACAATGTTAGATATATATTGTTACTATTAATAGGTGGGTGTGGATCGGTTATAGAATGTAAATATTGTATACCTATGCATGTGCTTATCGCACATGCGAAAAAATTTACTCAAGTAAATTCACAAATATTGTAAACCTTAATTCAAAAATGTTTTCAGGTAGCTTCTGTAATGTCTGTATGTATTTACCTAGTTTGTAATTGTATAAGTAACTTTTAGGTCTTTTTATTTAGTAAGTACTTACCTACAAATTACGTATTGGAATTGTATTCGAATAATTTAAATATTCAAATATTTGAATATCCATAATTCAAATAGGTACTTTGAAAAAAAATTATCTGAAATTTAAAAATTTATTTATTCAAATATCCAAGTATTTGGAAACTTAATACTTGGGGGATTACCTTATTAATAATTTATATTTTGTATGTAGTTGATAAGTTTTATTTTTTTAAGTGCTTGTTTTTGAATAACAATACAATTACGTATTATACTAATATTAATATTAAGTGATCAAATCAGCATGCTTGTATCAAGATCTCGGATATTCAAATATAGGATAATATGGATATTCAAATGAAATTATAACAAATACTTGAGAAATACCGACACCTAGTACATATGTAAGAAATGCGTAATGTGTTAATTTTGATTCCCTATTGAAATGTAGTGATAGTGACCTAAAAGTTTGTGTAAATGACATATTTTGAGTATATGACTTTGACGTCCCTCAAAAAATGTAAAGCAAAAAATACATTTGTAAAAATTATAGATTACGAATATGTAATTTTATAATACGTTAAAATGGATACGATGCTTGATATGTCAACAATACACCCACAAAACTGTAACCGGAGGCACTTCCAAAATTTAAATACAATCTTATCGTCTTCTCGGATAATTTAAAATCACACGCAATATTTTATTACCAAAGGTCATCTATGTTTTCACATCTTACAAAAGTAGTTTTTATTACTTTTTGTCCTTTGTTCAGGTAAATCTCAGAAATGTGAGGCTCATGACTACATAATTTAATCATAGTCATATTACAAAGGTGATAGTTTCATTTTGCAGTGTTGTTGAGTAACTACTTAATTATTTCATTATTTGTTACTTCCTATTTTTTAATTACTTAACAGTTTATGATTACGTTTTCAATAATTTTTTTTAAATGAAGCATTGGTGATGAATTTCATAGTCAGTGGAGATGAACTTAATAGTAATTATTACAAAAAGGACAAACTCGAAAAAATTTTGGCTTTCTGCTTCGTAAGCATAGGTTATTTGTAAGTAAAGCGAAACGTTTGTAATTACAGACAGCACAGAAAGTCACGTCAGACTACTATGGACTTTTTGATTATTATTTTTAGCCGCTCTGAGCAAAAATAATATATGCTGTCCTTTATTACAGTGACACCTCTTAAATAAGTTCAAATAAGTTGTAGCTTGTGGTTTAGCTATTCCACAGAAAAAATCTTTTGTGATTTTAGATAATGCTAATCGAATAATACTTAATCAATATAATCAAACATAAATAATTCTGTGTTATTAACGTTTCTTTACGTTACCGTAGTCGAGTAAAAATAACTGATAGTTAAACATGGGAAAATGATTTTTACGCATACCAAACGCGGATTTGTAGCTGTCAAAGACAGTCGGTTCTTATGAATTGTTATTTAATATAAATTGAATATACTTAACAATACTTAGAATGTAGAAACGAGAATAAAAGCCATAATTTCAATCAAAAATTAGGGATTACAACATAATTACAACACAAACACGGTTAAGCCGTGTGGTCGTACTGACGGTGATACCATCATGCCATCAAGAAAATTTATCGAGGAACGAGTGTCTTTCTTTGGTGCTGCGGCGCGGGGGTGGATTGGAAGCCCTTTTTTGACAGCAACGGCGCCATAATCATAAGTGATGCTCTTTTTCTAGTGGTGTCGGCTGGTAGTGCGCAAAACGAGAACTTTTTTCGGAGTTGCCTTCTCTTTGAAGGTTAGATCGATACAGAGGAAGTAGACGTAGGAAGACGTATTTTTTCAATTGTACCTGAATGTCGTAGAAAAATGTTCTAAATTTAAATATTATGTACTGAATAATAAAAACCGAGGGATATCCCTGCGGTGGGCACCGCTCTCCCGCTAAAACTCGTCGTAACCCGTAATCAATTGTTACGAACGCTGCACAAGCATAACCCCATAGATTCATAACCCATACCAATCAACCAGATAGGATAAGAAGACCGAATAAATATTGGAAATGGTCGTCGGTTTGATTCACATTTTTTATTTATAGTTAAGGATGTGGGTTGTTCTAGTATTAGGGAAATGCGAAGATTAGCTCAGGATAGGAAAGAGTGGAAGTACCTGTCCAACCAGTCTTAAGACTAACGACCTTATGATGATGAAAGAAACTCTATGTGGTCAGTATTCTGTCGGAACTGCCAGACTCTTGTTGGATCTCATCAGCACGTCGTAAGTAGTTTCAACAGAAAGACCAATTCTACCAGCTGCCCTAACACATTTTTTATTTATTTCCGAATGTACAATTTAAATGTAATTAGCACAAAAGTGTACTAATAATGATGAAATTGCACTTTTGCACAAAAAAAGGCTGAAATGTTCTAGATTGGTACAAGTGTACCAACTCTGGCAACACTGGTCGTTACTGAAAGAGGAGTCTCGTCAGTGGACGTTGCAGCTGATGCGTCCGCCGAGCTGGAAATATTTGAAAAGGTGTTAGACTATTATCTATGGTGTTAGATTCGTTGTGGAGTTGGTTCGGTGTTGACCGTTTATGCGCTGCATTCCTAATCAAATTAATCCTTTTAAACACGTGGGAACGTTCTTAAAGGAAAAGGACATTCTTTTTGTAATGTGTCTGAATACTGGCGTAGGCATGATGGTCTAAACGAGGTGGAGGTGACTGGAGAGGCCTCTAGTGGTTGTATATGATGAAAGAGTCGCTAGGAACCCACAGAGCCCTTTCGTCGAAGAGGCTTGGTGACTCTCCCTAAATGTCAGATAAATGTGCAGCAGGACTACCGGAAGACGATCGAACCACGGAGCTCCGAGATCAAACATTAGGGAGAAGCTTTAAAATTGCTATGTGCGTGTTCAACTATACCATTGAATTGTAATGATCTCTGCACTGAGACCTGTGGGATTTGAGACGGTAGTTAAGTGAGAGAGTGTTGGCGTCCATGATGTCCTTACATTTGGCTTGAACCAGTCCAAACTCTATTCACTTACAAAACTAAAACAACCGCGAACACGTGATCACCTGGACAAACTTGTTTTTCTCTTTCTGTTATTACATGTATCTTGATTTATTAAGTATTTTCTCACAACTTGATCCAAGGAATTCAACAAATATATAAAACTGTTATGGTGCGGTGCGAATAGTTGTTGTTTCCAGAATATCTGCTTGTGTTGTAACTTTCTCTGTACGACTTCCTTTGGGAGAAGCGAGATAACGGAGCCAAGTTCGCCGATAAGTCAAAAACGTAAAGGGATTTTCTGTTGGGATACGGTAGCGCTGACTTCCGCCATCTGAATAGGAGGTTTTATTAGAAGTTTCTATTCTCTATGAATAGAGCAAGAGAAGGTGCATGATGATGGTAGTTGCGCCTAGTTGTCATGGGCGCGGTGGTACCACCGCAAGTACCTGCCTTCTTGATTCGTTGCAAATAGTTTGCTTTGAATCTGACTGTTTAATCTTAGTGGTATAGACGTTGATTGTCCCCGTGATACCTGACAAACAAGTGTTGCTAATTCACGAAGATGTAGGGCATCCAGGGCCTTGGTCGAGAAGTACGTTGTGGGAGTAATGCATTGAAGTAATGCGTTGAATTGATGACTGCGGCGATTAAAAAGTTGCAAATAACCAACGATTATAGGTGGTAGGAGATCGAACACATTAACCCTGATGACATTGTTGGGGCTGAGACGGTTTTTCGTCACTCTGTTCAAGCAATATGAATAATTTGTGCAGCTAATGGTCAACGAAATCGTTTAAGCATTCTCTTGTTTCTTTATCCGCGTAATCGCTAGTGTCTAGAAGTTTGACTTGATTTAAGTTATAATAGTTTAGTTTTCACAGATAAGTTGGCAAGTGAAATGGTTAGGTGCCCATTATCTTAACGTGCTTGTTATCGACGGTTGGTTGTTGCCCCTTGTTTGGATATATCGTATTTACTTGATCTGAGAACATTTCATTTATAACAGAGCTTTTATTTGGTGCAATTTAGGCAATAGATCTTTTAGGTTGCCCAGATGGCTCTCATCTGTTTACGGTAAGGGTCAGTTTTTAGGTATAAGATTTGAAAACGTCAATTTGTTACCTACCTACTGTCTAAAAATAACTTATTAGCAACCGAATTGGTATAGTTGTAGGTATATATCAACTCTAGATTCTATACTTTCTTCTAAAATTGTAAGTAAATTTTTTAAATAGCATGTGTAAAAACTGTATATTGATGAGAATTTACCGCCTAAGTGTGGTGCAGTCTGCTTACGGCGGGCCCTCAAACTATAAGTAGTACGCTGTCTGCTTGGTCTGCTCCTTATGCGACCGCAACTATGTCACTGCCGAATGCAAGGCAAAAGATAAAAAGGATGGTACCCCTTCCTGCGCTAACTGCAAAGGACACCATCACGCTACATACTGCAGCTGCTCCAAGATCCCGAAGAGAACTGTAACCTTCAAAAATCTCTAACTCCCCCCAACACTTAAAAAACCGCACAAACAGCGCCCCGTCCGACAGCTCTCA